CGAACTGGAACCGAGCTCTCCTAACTCCGTTTAACACGGTCAAGTTTAATGGAATTCCGTGTCCGGGCGTCGATGATACCAATCAAGTTGCACGAATCCGGATGTCGTGCGTCACGCGATGACCGAACCCGCCGAAATTTCTCGGCGAACATCGCGGAACCTGAAGAAAGTTCGCTCACCCACCTCCGACAGACGACAGGATAATCATCCACGTAGACTCGCGAGTCTATCGTCAAGTCGCTTGAATTTTTTCATCAAAATCTTGGCTCGTTGTGAATACTTTGGACGTCTAGTAAAACAAAAGTACGTATTTGATTGGCACGAGCTTTTGCGGTTTATTTTAACACATTGTGAACTATAAAAAGCAACATTAAAAGAGAAAAAAAAAGAGGGTTCTTGTTTAACTTTTTAACGGCATCGTTTTATATTAACTTTTTTTTTTTACATTGCCTATCGGCGTGCATGATTCCAGCCAAACAGGATTAGTTGCAACAGAAAGGCAAGAAAAGTTCGAAAGTAGACAATATTCCAACATTTTCATTTCTGTGAAAATTATCAAAAAAAAAGCAGCTTTTGGATGTATCGAATTTATGCCAAAAATTCTACGTTTTTTGTTTATATTTTTCGAAATTGTTAAAAATTAAAAAATGTTCGATCCCTAATAAATGTTACACTAACGATACGTACCAAGTTTCACGGTAATCGGTTGATTAGATTATCCGAGATATCTTGCACACCTAGATTTCTAAAAACCTAGTTTCGAGAAAAAACGCGTTTAAAGTTTCAGAATGTTATTTTTCATATGTATCCTTTACTTATTTTGTTTTACTTATATATCGCGGCTCACAGTTCTTACAATTCGAAACTAAATTGACTCCAAGTCCCTTAACATTCGATTCACCAATAGTAATATTTGAATCACACGATTTACATTATATAATACTGCTTGAAGTTGTAAACAGTGATGCAAATTCAATTATTCTGCATCCGCGGATTTATTATTATACCCCAAAGTAAGTCGTTTCAAAGGCTAGTTAGTAGAACCTTTGAAAAAAAGAATCGACTTTTTGAAAATTTCAAATTCTGCCGCCTTAATAAATTCGCGTAAACACAGAGGCTTGAGAAAGAAGGAAATACGGATCAAAGGAAGATTGCAAGGAGCAGCGCACCTAACATCCTTTGATCCGTTTACGCTCTTTTTACCGTCTTCGAACAGGGGTAAATTTTCGTTGTGACAAAATTATCCTAACTCGCTGGTGTCTCATCTTTCAATCAATGAAGACACGTCTCGTCTTTCAAAAAATGATCGAGTATCAATTTCATTTCGCCGGAACAACGATATTTTCCATTATTGAAAAAACTTGGAGAAAAGAATCTTAAAATAAACTGTATTGTAAATTCGTTGCGGAGAGTAGGATATATATATATATATATATATATATATTTCATTTCATCGAAAAGAGGAGTGTATATAACCTTGATAGAAAATATTTCGACTTTATACATCCCCGGGCAGAATATAGCTCTTGTACGCTCTTTATTTTCTTATATTATGAATCGTAAATTAGAGAGAATGTCGTCAATATCCTTGGACGTGGATTAGCCACGTGTATTATGTTGAGTATTATTACCGAGACACAAAAAACGAAAACGTCAAATATTGCCCGCAGCTAGGTGAACAAGTTCGCGTATCTATGCTCCTTGTCTAATATTCGTGTGAAACACAGTCGGTTAATTGTGGGGAAAAGGTTAAATCCGGCTGAGATACACGCTCGAATATTGAAATCAAACGAAGAGTATCATTCGGCGACGAGAAATAGCCAAAAACAGTCGACTGTAGTCATAGATTGATGGTGAATTTACCAAAAGATCCCGATAATTATGAAGAAAAAGAAAGTTGTGGACAACCGGTAGTGGTCTAACATAGCTCGGGATAAACGTGCCATGATACGTTAAATTCAAGCTCGACTGCGAGATAAATTGCCAAAAGCCGGAGTCGCGACAAACGTTGGGGAACGTTCGACGTCTCTTAAAAAAAGTCGTCAACATCTGAAACGAGCATCTGAGACGAAAATTGCAGCAAGAAGAACCTTGGGTCAAAGCAAGAGCTGTGCCGTTTGCAATTTGCAGAGAAACATGAAACAGTTTATATGAATGAGAAATAACGAGGAGTCATGTTTGCCGATGAAAAGAGGGACCTGATGGCCTCCGCTGCTGTTTTGCCGCGATTTATCGTAATGTAGCAACAACATCTGAGTCGAGGTATAATGATTTGGGCAGGTAAGTCGGAGATCAAATTTATGACGAGAAAGTTAAATAGCAAAAGGTGTATTTGAAAGTGATTGACGAACGAATCGACACGAATTGCCGGAGATAAGTACAGTTCTCGACGTGATGACGCGAAAGCAACGTGAAACAATACTTTGCAAGCAAAAAGAAATTCGTGTTTTAGAATGGTCATCCAAGTCTCCTTGAATATTACAGAAAATTGTTGAGGCAATTCGCAAATATTAAAAAAATGTATCGTGGAGGAGTGGGAAGAACCAAGAAAACTATATAAATCTTTGCCTCGAAGAAACGCAAAGGAGGTCGTACCAAGTATTAAATAATTATACAGAATATCTGTAGTTCAAATTAAAGCATCGATCATCTGGATTGATTAATGTTCTTATGGAAGTATTTTTCTTTGTAACTAAACTATTAAAATGTATAACTAAAATATAATGACTAAAAATTGAAAAATGTTCCAGTCTGTTTTTATTAGATGTGTCAATTGCAATACTGAAGTTGTGAAATTTTTCTGCTCAAAACTATCAACTACCGGGTTTCCAATTTATGGTGTTATTTTCTTAAGTGATCCAATAAGATCGGCACGAATGTTAATTAAAAATAAATTAGTAATTAATAAAGGGATATTTGCAGATTTCGTTATCTGTCGCCGCGCTAATATTAATTTTGATATCAAGGAGCAAATTAAATTGGAGAAATTAAGGACAGACGAGTTGCAGTCTACTAGTATCATTTGTTTCAAGTGTTGTCGATATCGGTAGTCAGAAATGTAAATTAAGAAGATGATCGCGGTGCGTGCGTTGCTCACGAATCCGATAGTTTCTAATTTCCGCGAGAAAAGTCCTTCGTGAGTACTCGTAACATGATTTCATGCTCATTGCGAGTAAAATTGTCGCCACTTTACAAGCCAATTATCGCGACCTTGCGAGATTTCGCGTCCGCGATACGTTAGACGTATCCGAGGCCGATTTCAAGCGGGATTTCCGCGAATTCGGAATTATTTCCGGTAACTAACCCTCCGTGGACAAACTGCGAAATTTCAGCCTCAAATTTCTCCTTCCTTAATTTTCATTTTTATTAACGGAAGTTTCACGTTAGGCTCGTTATAATTGTCAGAATTTTTCGCGAATTTCTCGACGAATCATAATAGTTTTTAACTGTTAGATTTTCTTAATAACTTTAATTATAAGTGACCTATAAAATTATCGTTTTTTTTTTTTTTTTAATAATCCTTGTAATTAATATTTAGTGTATTCTATTCATTAACTGTCTTTATTAAGTTAATCTTTAACAACAAAATCAAAGAGTTTTAAATATTTCTCAAGTATTTATTTTTTTCTTTGTAGAAAGCTTTTTATTTTCTTTTTTCTTTTTTTCATTAATTCTTCATTCATCCCATATTTATCAGTAAATTGCGAATTTTGACGCGTTACCAATTCAAGGTATAAAAATTTGTAAAGTAACTTAAAGTAAAATGCTGGTCATAATGAAACTTTTGCTTCCGTTCCACTTCCACAAAAATTCCATATTCCATATTCACGAAAATTTAAATCTGCTGTCTGCTGGTGTTGTCAAGAATGGAATCGCACCATATTAGGATTGAATATTCCAAAATTTTTCCACGTTCCTTGGAATAACAAAAAGCAAAACAGAACAAAATTGAGGCTCAAGTATAAACGACCTAGTTTACTTACGATGTATAAATCGATGCTAATGGCTTGTAAAAGTATTTGATCACTTACAGAGATTTCTTGCAAATATATTATTCGTACAAAATATTCCGAAATTCCAACCTGACACGATTATCATGATTGTATTCTTTATATGTGTTGATAAATCATAATAAAATCGTATTAAAATTAATGTTTAAAATTACTGTTCAGTCAATATATATATATTTATACATGTATGTATATATACATAGTCTATTTACTATAGAATTTAACAAAAATTTGTTACAGAGTACATATTTTGTACGAATAATATATTTGCAAGAAGTCTCTGTAACAATATATACATATATATATTGATTCAAATTGGTTTCAAAGTTCACTACTGCCAAATGCTAATTACCAAAATAATAATCGTGACTCGTTACAATGAAATTTCAGAGTGTAAAACGCACTTGCACGATTCTTCTCTAATTGGTTCGGCAGTTTTCGTTCGTTCTGAAAGGAAAGAAGAAAAAATGCACAAAAAAAAAAAAAAAAAAAAGAGGAAGTGCAAGGCACAAACCGCGATAAGAGTAAGAACGCGAACGGTTAACTCGCGCTCGCTCGAATCGATGCTTTAGCAGGTTTTTTAAGGTCGCGCGAGACCACGCGTGGCCTGATTTCTTTTTCGGAAAGAAATTGCGAAAACACGGCCGAAAGGCTTGCAGGAAGCAAGCTACAGCAGGCTAGCGCATTGTTCGTAATTCTCGAAGGAGCGGGGCTTTTAGAATTTAAAATAGTCAGCGAAATCGTCTTGCGAGGGAAACACAGGCCGAGGAGAGGACTCTTTTGTCCTCCCCCCCCCCCCTTTTTCGCTGTTTCCCTGGCTTTTCTGGCTTCTTGATCGAACAAAGCGAGCGGAGGGACAGAGCTTTTCTCTGGTGAAAAGCTGGCGATCGCACTCTATATGCTGATTGTCGGTAGTTATATAGCCGCCGTTTTCTCGGCGAGTGCTTCCACCTTTTATTGTTCTCACTTGGCGATGTTTTCTTGTTTCAGTACTTGATGAGTGGCTGGGCGAAAGGATACAGTTTCCGGTGCCAGCCGGTCGACTACTCCAACAACGCCATGGCACTCCGAATGGCCAACACGTGTTGGTGGTATTACATTAGCAAATTCACCGAGTTCTTCGATACCGTAAGTGTCCCGAACGCGATCGATTCAGCACTGTGTTATCGAGCTGGTGATTATTTCATCTTCCTTAATTAAAATATCATCCCCTCCGTCTATTATTGTCGAAGACCACTCGTCGTCTTACTTGCTTTTGAGATTAATTGTGTTCGTGTGTGTGTGTGTGTGTGTGCCTCGGGGAATTAATTGAAGTTTAATCAAAGTTTAGATAAAAATCGTTAATTATTATTTACGATTTAATTTGTCACGTGTCGTGATTAATGCTGTCGTGGCACTGATTGCATTTACCATTGACATTTTATTAAACTTCATCGATTTGTTTTCATCTTCAGTCTGCATTATCCGTTTAACTGTGTTACAGTGGAGGAAACGTTAAATGAAAAAAATTGACTTGTAAAAATAATT